CTGCTGGTGAGAAGATAGACTGGTACAACCACTATGAAAGCAGTCTGGCGACACCTCAAAAAGTTAAAAATAGAACTACCATACGACCCAGTAACCCCACTCCTGGGTATATACCCGAAAAACTTGAAATCATTTATACAAAGATAAAAGCACCCCTATTTTCATTGCAGCATCATTCAGGGTAGCCAAAACATGGAAAACAGCCAAAGAACATATGATAAAGGACTGGATAAAGAAACCGTGGTACATATACATAATGGAACTCAGTCATAAGAAAGGATGTAAAAGCATCATTTACAACAACATGGATGGACATTGAGAACACTATGCTAAAGTGAAATAAGTCAGACAGAAAATCTAAGAACCATATGATTTTACTCATATGTGGGATATAAAACTAAAACACATGAACACAAACAGCAGTGTGATGGTTGCCCGAGGGAGGTGGGTGGTAGAAGGTGGGAGGTGACAGGAGAGGATTTTACTTTGGGTGGTAGCCATGTGGTCCTATATACAGATTTTGTAACTTAGAAATCCACACATATAACCTATATGTTCATGTTTAACAATGTCACCCTAATAAATTTAATTTAAAAAATAATAAAGAAAACTTTGTGTGGTAACAGAGAAAGGCCAAAGAGGAAGTTAAGTAAACTTGACACTATTATAGAAAAATTAAGTAAAAATTAGATTGCTTATGAATGGAGGGTCAGAATTGATAGAACCTTTCAGTATCAATATTATTCCAAATACTAGGTGACTAAAAACTAGTTTTACATTTCAGTTTTTGGAAACTATTCATAGAAATGTATGCTACTTTGACTGAAATCTGAGCATTTTTCCTACTTACCAAAAAAGTATAATGTGAATATTTTTCTTTACATTCTATAATATTTGCATATGTTAGAAAGAAAAAAACAGACAGCAAGAAAACTATAACAGCCACAGATAATTTTACCACATGAAGATTAATTAGTTAGAATATTGTATATTTCTTTTTCTAAACACTTTTTATCGATTTCAGAGAGAAAAGGAGGAGAGAAAGATAGAAACATCAATGATGAGAGAGAATCACTGATTGGCTGCCTCCGGCATGCCCCTCATTGGGGATCAAGCCCACAACCTGGGCATGTGCCCTTGACTGGAACTGAACCCAGGACCCTTTAGTCCACAGGCTGGAACTCTGTCCACTTAGCTAAACTGGTTAAGGCTTATATATTTCATTCTAGCTCTTTTCTAATACATGTTAGGTTAATAACTAACATGAGAGGGGGTTGACATTTATATTTAATTACTTTTCCTCACATAGCAACATGTACTAAATGTTCAATAAATTTACTAATACCTCTGCATTATTCTAGCCTATAGATGCTTTATAATTTTTTAATTGCTCCCCTAATACTAATCAATTTGCTTCCCCCTTTATGTTTGATAATTACTGTGAACAACACTGTGAGGAAATAAGTATGTTTTGGGGGTTTTGATATTATTATTATTGTTTTCTTTTATATTATTTTTCTTGGAATAGATTTCTAGATGTAAAAATAAATGCCCCTATATTTTGGGGCTCCTCACTTTGTCCATACTGTAAAATATCTAATCAAAGAGCAGTTTATTAACTCATTGATACTGAAGCAGAGTTTAAACTGGCTGAATAAATTTCCAGTGTATTTGTTGTTCCTTCCTCTAAAGACTTCATTAAATGATGATACAATAGTCTTCAAAAAGCAGAAGCCTACAACACTTTTCTAGAGGCACTTATGGGAGAACGCTGGCAGATGGAATAGCTTAGTTGAGAATGTATGAAGCTACAGGGGGAGTAAGTCTCCTTAGCCAAATCCTAGAGATGTCTGGACAAAGGAAAAAGAGGACAGGAGTGACAACCAAAGGTGAATCATGAAGAAAACTGATAACAGAACATGGAAATACAAACTTTTTTTTTTTTCAAAGAAATTCAAAATGAGACAGCAGTTAAGGTGGGAATTTCACCTTTAGAGTAAGGTTCTCAATCTGACCTTGAATGGGTCACCTATGTAGTGGCTTCTTAGCCATTCATTTAAAAGTGAAGTTTTGTTAAGGCTGGTGTGGATCAATGGTCAGAGTGTTGACCCTCACACTGAAAGGTTGCAGGTTTGATTCCCAGTCAAGGGCACATACCTGGGTTGCAGGTTTGAACCCTGGCCCCACCCTGGGTGAGTGCAGGAGGTAACTTGTAACCAATCAATATGTCTCTCTCATCTCTCTCTCTCTCTCTCTCTCTCTCTCTCTCTCTCTCTCTCTCTCTCTCTCTCTCACTTCTGCCCTCTCTCCATTCCACCCTCTCTAAAAATCAGTGAGGAAAAAAATCCTTGAGTAAGGATTAACAACAACAGCAGAAAGTGAAGTCTTTCAGTTTCTAAGATATCTCCATGTATCCAGAACTCTGAGTCAACATCCCAGTTCTTTTATTCTTAAGTGTAAATAGGCAATCAAAGACCAGACATTTTGGAAAATTCTACAGCTTAAAAGAGAATGACTAATTTAAACAAGCATAACAACTGATCCTTAGAAAAACAGACTAAAATGTAAGAAGCAAAGAAAAACTTAAGATAATTGCAAATGATACTAGAGAGATTAGGGATATTGTATTTAAAAAATAAGACAGCATGCTCTGAAAATGTTCCATTTCTAAGAATAAAAAAAAAATTCTTGGAAATTAAATAACAAAATTATTTTATCTGCACTTATATACACACAGATAAAAAGACATTTGGAGGAGAGATTCAAGGAATCTTCCAGAACCAAGACAGAAGTCAAAACCACAAGATAAAATAAAATCTTTAACTTTTAATTGGACTTCCAGAAAGAGGGGAAGAAACAAACAAATGGGCATAAATTGTGGAAAAATTATATAGAAGTTGAAAGGAGGTAGTAGACACACTAAAAGAACTACAATCTCTAGGGCAGGTTGAATTAAAACACATATGTGCACACACCCATACACTTAAACATAAGGTTGTAGAATTGTATAACACAAAAAGTAAAGACAGTCCAACTGGTGTGGCTCAGTGGTTTGATTCCTGGTCAGGGCATATGCCTCAGTTGCAGGCTCAAACCCAGTAGGGAGCATGTAAGAGGAAGCCAATCAATGATTCTCTCTCCCATTGTTGATGTTACTATCTCTCTCTTCCTCCCTGAAATAAATTATATATATATATATATATATATATATATATATATATATATATATATATATATACTAGAGGCCTGATGCACAAAAATTATGCATGGGTAGGGTCCTTAGCCCTGATCAGTGATCAGTGCCAATCTGTGGGGTGACCAGCAAGGCAATCAGAGGGGCCACCATTGGCACCTGCCTTGGCTGGCCTGGGGCCTATGGACTGGGGCAGCTCTTACATTAAGCATCTGCCCCTCGTGGTCAGTGCATAACATAGTGACTGGCCATTCCACTGGTTGTTCTGCTATTTGGTTGATGTGCATATTAGGCTTTTATTATATAGGATATATATATATATACATATATACATACATATATATGCATATATACACATATGTGTATGTATATATATATATATATATAATAAAAACGTACAGAGAGAAAAATATCAATTGCAAAGGAATAAGAATCAGACAGCAGTAACAACCGATGTTAAATGATAGTGAATTAGTCTCTAAATTCAAGAAAAATAATTTTTAATCTAAAATTTTACGACCAAACAAATACCAATCAATAATAAGAGCAAACTGAAGTCATTTCAGATATATAATTACTTAGAAAATTTGCACATTAATCAACATTCAAAGGTGATTGTTTAAGGATTTACCCTGAAACAAATAAAACAAAAATGGAAACTAACAAAGAATAATAAGTGTGACATTAGAAACTGGAATTATTCAGTAGTCCAATGAAACATCAGTGGAACCAAGAATTTCTTAAAGAAGAATGAGATGAAAGATATAAGAACAAGAAACTGAAACATGATAAAAGTATTTAGAAAAAGAGGTGTTTTTATGTTCTCCCAAAGAGAAAAAATATCACATAATCTAGAAAAACAAAACTATAAAAAGCTTATTGTATAAACAATGAAGTAAGTATAATGTGTGATTTTGACTATTTGATGGATGGTTGGATAGGGGAATCTATTTAACCTTTATTCTAGGAATACTCAAAAGATAACAGAGGTTCTGGGAGCTTGGCAATGTAACAAAGGAAGTGATATTGCATCTGCAGAAAGCATTATTTTTACAGTTGTAATGTATATGCCAAGTGAGGAGTTAAGAGATAGTGTTAAAATGTGATAGAGCATGATGTAAAGGTGCAAATATACTATTTAAAGTTACAAATTCAGTCAAAAGAGAGATTAAATTTAAAATGGCAATATAACTATGAAAAATTAAAAGGTTATACAAATGAGCTAAACTTTTTAAAAATATATATTTTATTGATTTTTTACAGAGAGGAAGGGAGAGAGATAGAGAGCTAGAAACGTCAATGAGAGAGAAACATCGAAATGTGCCTCTTGCACACCCCCTATTGGGGATGTGCCCACAACCAAGGTATGTGCCCTTGACTGGAATCGAACCGGGGACCTTTCAGTCCGAAGGCCGACGCTCTACCACTGAGCCAAACCAGTTTCAGCTAAATGAGCTAAACTTTCATCTAGCACAACAGAAAAATCAACAACAGATAATGCTAATCATAGTAATATAAATGTACTCATTCATAGAGAATTGCAAGAAATTTCCAAGTGAATAGCAGAAAATTTTTTTTCAGTTAGAGGACTGTTGTTCATTACAAGTTTTCAAATATTATTTGACTGCCACACTGCATATAAAACACTTTAGTAATTTAATCTCAGAATATTCTACATACCCAACAAATATTAAGGACCAAAAATGAATATTTTTTTCTAAAAAAAATAAATAATGTTCTAGGTTTGAAGAAGACAGCTTACCTTAGAAAGAGGGAATGATAAAGGAAATATTAGCAATCAACTCACCTAAGCAAAAGTCACTGAGGTCAGCAAAAGAACATTTAAGTACAGAGTCTTCTTTATCCTCCTCAGGGTTAACTGAAAAGAGAAAAAAGGAGGGAGGGAGGGAGAGAGAGAGAGAAACACAGTAACAATTTTAATATATGATCACAGTGACTAATATCTGATGATAGCCAAACATAAATATTTTTAGTTAAAAATTAGGTACATGTGTACTATATTTTATAATACATTTATCCTCTGGACAATTAGCCATTTTCCTTATTGGACATGGATTGTAAGAAAACCATTTGTTAATAGATAGTGATTTCACAATATTATTGGAAAGACAGTATCGGTATTTGCAGGTTATCCAAAGGAAGCAACAACCCAAAGAAATTATAAGAAAATATAGTCTAATAAGATACAAGCCTTTTAGAAAGGGATGGGAAAATAAAAATACTAGTACACCTTACCCATGAAGACATGGTAGCCGGGTTGTATTTTGACTCCTGACTCCTATGAAAATAATGGTGTGCCTCAGACTGGCAGATCTACTAGTATGTGTAGAAAGTGCCTAAGGGCAGCCACAAAGCCTGTTTAATGTGGCACCTGGCGGATGTTTCCCTATATTCCAGCCCTTCTATTATGTAGGGCTTCAGTGCCAACATTTGGTTGGCAACACTTGTCCAACCACATGTTCATACAACCAAATCCTCATTGCTTATTGTCAATATTATTTAAAGTCTTTGGTCTTTTGGGGAAATTAAATTCATTATTGATGACATACTCTACTCAATTTCTGTTTTCTGTTTATAAATTTTCACCAGGAATGGAAATGAGCCAATAATTCAGATGAGCTGGTTGTCTTCCCCTGCAAACAGCAAGGACTAGGTCTAGGTTTGCATGGGGTTGGGGACCTTTGGGCAAGACAGAATTGAAAACACATCTGGCTAACAAAAGCCTTCCCTCTAACTGGCACAGGGTACTGTTCTTCCCAGGCCAGCCTCCTCCTAAAGAGCTTTATAAATACTAGTGAAATGGATGAAAATATGAAAGGTTTGGGGTGGGGGGAAATAACATAATCTTTACAATTTGAACAAGAAAACAGAACTCACCTTGCTCTGCTTTGTCAACGGAGATTGAGGTCACAGAAGTGGGAACCTGGGGTTCACTCTCAATGGACTGGAAGAGTGAGGTGGACTGGCTCAGGCTCTTTGAGTAGGCAAAGCTCTGGGCCAGGCAAGGCAGGGACCTCCGAGATGGTTTTAAGGGAGTTTCTTTTGCAATCTCACTCTTGCTTACATTCATACCTAAAAATCCAAGGAGGTGCATGTTAGCAACAAGAAATAACCGGAAGAGGTCAACAAGTAATTTTAATTCTTGTGAAGGCTGCTTCTAGAAAGGACTGTGAAATAACACCATTTAGGAATGAGAATGAATTGAATTAGTTTGGTTTTTATTTTGCCAGGCAAAATGTTTAGAGATATTTGTCAAATAGTTTTGAGAAATAAATGGTTCCTCATTCAGTTTAGCTTTTCACCATGTTTTAAAATTCTGTATTAAAAAAAAATGAATGTTTAAGTTCATTGAGGGAATTGTGAGAACAATAATTTGGATTGTCTTTAGATAAATCTAACTGTTTAGATTTTCAAGTAGAAAAATAAATAAAACCTAATTCATAAACAATCATATTACTATTAATACTAGGAGCCCTTCTTTCTATACCCTACCTAGCCTCACTTAAACACATGTATGTATACACATTAATGGTGACTAACGGTGATGGCGAAGCTGGAGTTAGCATGGTGTAGTGCAAAAACTGGCCAGCAAGTAGAGGTCAAGAGAGAGCAATCCTGTGCTCAGTGTGACAGTCCCTCCCCTCATGCAGAGAGAGCTGATTTGCTAGAAGAATGCCACTCCACAGGACTCTGACTCCATAGGGGAAGCCAATTAACTGTATGCTACAGCAAAGAAAGCTCACCTCAGATAGGACATGAAACAAAATGGTTAGGAAATTTGCTTATTAAAGGTCATGAATCTAACAACTGACAGAACTGCATGTTAAAGGTACAGCACTGGATTCCAAAGCCTATGAACTTTAAAAAAAAACTCCACAGCCCCTCATGAACCCCAGTCTCAGATGGTTTATTATTATTGTTTGGATTAGTATAAATAGCACACAAATTTTAAGCAGAGTGCTCTGAAAGTAGAAATCACAGAGCTAAAGCAAACCTCGGAGCCTCTGATAATTCTATATCTGCAAACTTGGTGAACTGTGGGATAGATATATTTGATGAAAAAGGAACATGTGCTTTTTGGTAATGTCTACCCACCACCTATCAAACTGTATCTCTCCTATGTTAAACTGCCCTATAAAATAACATATATGAATAATAATCTGCTATGAGTTAACAAGGTGTATAACTGAGTTATACAAAATGAAAATCAATATTTTAATATTATTCATTCAGTTTTATATTACTTATTTAATAATTTCAAACAATTTTTGAGTTCTTTCTCTGAGCCAGGCTTTAATTCAGTGTTGGGAATAAAATGGTGCGCACTCAGAAGGAAAACAGGTACATAAAAGCAGATCTTCGTATTAAAAACCATTAAAATAATATGCATAGACCATTACAAAATCATCCAAGAGGTACTTCTAATCCAAATGGTGGTACCAGTGTAGTCTTATCAGTGAAGGTCATCTGAACCTATTCTTTTGGGCATATTTCTTCTCTTGAGTTTTTATTATTTATAATTATTGGGTTTAACACATTTTCTTCAAAGGAATGTATACACAGGAAGAAATTCTGTAGAAAATTCTTCATAAACACAAAAATACTAAAATATTTGTCAAATGAACACAAAGAAAATTGAGAACATAATGTTGAAGACAAAATCTCATTAATGCAAATGCAGTTTTCTCATCTTCTGAACTATTGTTTCCAAAGATATTATACTGATCATGAAAGTTAGATATCCTGTGTATAAAAGAGCACAAAGTTTCTTTTTCAAGTTTCCCATCAAATGTCATCACATTCTGCTTGGCATAACAAGAATTCTGTTCTTTGCTTGGCATGATTAACATTAACTTCCCCAGAGGAAATTCAGCCTTTTTTCTTCTATATTCCAAAGTTCCATTTCTCTTCTTATATGGATTTACATGGTACCTTTAAATAATACTTGATAACTACCCATTTAAAGCTAATAACTAGAAAGCAGACAATGATAACATTAGGATGGATAAGCATATTCAGCTCTTGAGTTCAAAGATAAACCTGTAGAACTGGCAGAAAATGTGTCATTTCCTATATTTAGAACAGACTTTTCTAAAGAACAATTAGTACCACTTCCAACTGTTCTAAGAGTACTTCATAAATGCTCCCAAATTTTTAAAAGAATATAATAAAATGATGATTTCACTTGGTTATACAAAAAGCTCCAAGAGGTATAATTGCAATATATATACATTTTCTAAAAAAGCATTTGCATAAGACATCAGAAGAGAAAAGATTGCTATTCATGATACTGTATATAGAGAACTCTAAAGATTTTATAAAAATTTTCTAGAACTGATAAATGAATTCATTTATGTAGCAGGATACAAAATAAATACCCAGAAATAAGTTGCATTTCTGTATATCAATTATAAACTATCATAAAGATAAACTAATAGTGCAATCCCCAATTACAAATGCATAAAAAACAGCCTTGGAATAAATTTAACAAAGGATGTGAAAGATCTCTACTAAAAAAAAATTTAAGTCACTGAAGAAAGAAACTAAAGAAGATACAAATGATATTAATTCTTCCTATCTATAAATAGGGTATTTATTTCCAATTGGTTAAAATATACATACTACCCAAAGCAATCTATAGATTCAATTCAATGCCTCTCAAGATACCAATTTTGCTGCAGTCTTTCCGCAGCTAAGATTCAGGAATATGGAGAAGGGCTGTGCATAAATAAATTAGACTAGACAAAAAATATAAATTTGGAAGGCATTGGGGGAGCCAGAGGAAAACTTAGCTCTAGTAACTAAGTTCCCTGAATCTCTGGACCCTGACTTTTTATATTTACTAGAAAATGCATTGGTCCTTTAGGAATGCAAACAGGCATATCAAAGGTAAGGTTTGGTAAACAGGAAAAGTTTAGGGGAAATGCCTGCAGCTGTTCTGCAATAGGTAATAATATGCAAATTATCAGTCCTGCTGAAGCCTCAAGGCCCATCAGCCTTTTGAAGAACTTCTTGCATAATTATGACCTGCTGGAATTTGCCTCCAGCACAATGGTGTATTTTACAGATCTTGGAAAAATATTCCAAAATTTTATATGAAGCATAAAAGACTCCAAATAGCCACCTCAATCTTGAGAAAGAAGAACAAAATTAGAGGAATCAAGCTTCCTGATATCAAAATATACTACAAGGCCTATTAATCTAAACAGCATTATTTTTGCATTAAAAATACAACAACAATAGGCATAAAGATCAATGGAACAGAATATAAAGCCCAGAAAAAAAGCCCATACCTTCATGGTCAATTAATATTTGACAAAGGAGACAAGAACATACAATGGGGTAAAATTAGTCTATTCAATAAATGGCGTGAGGGAAATTGGAAAGATACATTGAAAAAATAAAACTAGATCACTTTCTCATACCATACACAAGAATAAACTAAAAATGGATTCAAGTCTTAATGTTAGACTAAAAATCATAAACATTCTAGAAGAAAATATAGGCAGTAAAATCTTGGACATTTCTCATAGCAATATTTTTTCTAATGTATCTCCTCAGACAAGGGAAACAAAAGACAATTACAGCACCTATGTGTGTAGAGGAATGTTGCCAATGCCAAACCGCAGACTGGCATGGAGAGCGCCAGGGAAATAAAATACCCCAACTTCTCTTTTGTCAAATTCTGGTCTGCTGTTGCTGTCACCCACTGGTTAAATTTAAACAGTGGCTAGAGGTCCTGTAAACCCCTGATTGTTGGGGTCCATAGATACCTGATTTGGAGGATAGACAAAGATTATCCACTACACATGAAAGATTTATAACTGCAATGGAGCTTTCAGCATAACCTTTGGGTGCAGAAAGCCACATACACAGATGTGTTTTTGTTTGTTTATTTGTTTGTTTTGTTTTTTACAATTAGAGAATAAGATTGAATGTTTTGGTCATAATCTATAAGTATTTTAAGATGCTTAAATTAACTTGTGGCCCAATGCACAAAGATTCATGCCAGAATGGGCCTTTCTTTCCCTGGCTGCTGACACTGCCTTCACTCTGGCCAGAAGTGCCTTTCTGCACAGAGGCCCAGAGTGGCTGACTGTGGTGCAGAACACCTGCATTGTCACCATGGTGATGACACAAGCATCCAGCCCTGGCCCTGGATGCTCTGAGCCCATGTATGCAAATTAACATGGCATCTTTGTTGGGTTAATTTGCATACTCACTCCTGATTGGCTGGTGGGTGTCAGGAAGGTATGGTCAGTTAGGATGTTACTCTTTTGTTAGGTAATTATGGGAAAAGCAACATGACTTTAAAATACTTTTGAGTTTGCTTGCTATGTATATGACTCTGTGCAAGAGAGAAAAGGTACATAAAATACACTCAGCCTTTAAATAAGTAATCAGCAAAATCAAAATCTATCTCATATAATTAAAATATATTAGGATAAATAAGAAAAGCTCTAAGTTTAATGTAAGATAGAATTCTGTAAGAAAGGCACAACATTATGAAGAGATTTGCAAATTAGTGAAAATACATTTTAAAAGCCCTGAAGGTGATATAAGTGACCTTATGTTTACTTTTATCTTTGTGTCCTGTTTTTTAAGTCATCAGCTCACTCCAAATAGTTTAATTTCCCTTGTTATATGTCCCCTTAGATACATGTTCTTTGCTTTAATAGGACTTACCATGTTTGCATGTATTTATTCACTAGAGGCCTGGTGCACGAAAATTGTGCACTGAAGGGGGGGGGCGGTCCCTCAGCCTGGACTACATCCTCTTGCAGTCCAGGGTCCCTTCTGGGATGTCTGCCTGCTGGCTTAGGCCCAATTCCCGGAGGCATTGGCCTAAGTCGGCAGGTGGATATTCCTCTTGCAATCCAGGATCCCTTGCTCCTTACTGCCAACCTGCTTGCTTCTTACTGCTCAGCTCACTGCTCCATAGTGCTGTCACAGAGGTGGAAGAGGCTCTTGCCACCACCGCTTCACTCTCAGCCATAAGCTTGGCTGAGTGGTGCTGCCACTGTGGAAGCACACCGACCAGCAGGGGGCATCTCCTGTGTTGAGTGTCTGCC